TATTATATACTGGTCGGTTATTATATTGTCTACCATAGATTATCTTTTTTATTTATTTTACTAAAGTAAATAATAATAGTAATATTCTAAAAAGAAAAATTTATCATATTTGTTTAATAAATATTGTCATACTAAAGAGGTCAACTACTTTTGCAAACTGGGAATTTGCTAGTAAAACTTTGGCTTATTAGTCTTCGATCAGCTGAATATCTCGAGGAATACAAATTAATAAACAGGAAAGAGGTTTACAACGAATATTTGGAGATTAGTATTTCAATGCACTCTTACTTGCAAATATTAAAAGAAAAAAAGGTGGGAAAAGATAGTTCATATGTTGAAATGAATTGACACAAAACCGAATTGTGAATTAGATGTAAATTTAGACAATTCGATTTATGTAAATTACATCTAATTCATTAATTACATACTATAAGATACGATATCAATTATTTAGAACACACATTGTTTTGACTAATAAGTGACTTAACATATATCATGTCTTGTTAAAATGCCAGACTATTCCTACGGGTATTAGATTTTGCGACTTATATAAACATGTTTTTAAGAGTCTGTAATTATTTATCTCCAAAATTAATAAAAACAATTATAGATAAAAGGGTTTGTTAAGTGGTCTCAATTCGTTTTACAAATTTATCCAGCTTTCATTCATAACAAAATGACCATTAGTTAGTTAATTGCGTCTAGTAATCTTATTCTGTAAAGTTGTATAGTTAAAGAGCCATTGGCAATGCAAATGGTTTATGTAAGAAAAGAAGAAAACACTAACACGATTAGTTGAGAAAAAAACTGTCAAAAAGCTAATTAAGTCTAATTCTGATAAATTATTTTGCGTGATTAAATCTAATTCTGATGTCTTAACAAGTATGAACGATGTGTCAGTCGTAACAAAGCATTAGCATTTCTCTTTTTCTTTAGTTATCCACCTTATATATTTCTAAGATTCCACCAAAAATAGTATTACCCGTTGGTGCCTAATACATGCACGTGATAACCAATCCTGGTCGCCAATATTATTCTCTCTCTTGTATGAGAGAATCTCTTGTGTTGTGTGTATATATATATATCCACTGTCCACACATACATAAACTTAACTCATACAATCTCATCGTTATCA